TCAGAGCCCACATGCCCTTTTCGCGATAGTAGAAGCCAGCACTTGAGGTCAGAACAGCCGGAAGTGCAAGTGCAATTGTCAAAACCAGCGCACGCAAAGCGTACAGGCCTTCGGTGTTCCCCAGCCAGCGTGACACTGCCAGCAAAATCTTCCCGGGAGTACTTCGTTTCGTGCCACCACGGAAGCGAAGTTTGTCAAGTTGCGCCTGTGCCCCTGTCTCCTTCTCTTCCTCATTCTTCTTTTTCTTCTTCGTTGAGGAGTTGGTTTTGCTCCTTGTCAGAGCTTTCTCAAGCTCTAAATCATTGTTGTCGCTTGACATTGCAATGACACCGGGGGCAGCGTCCCTCCCAAGTCCCCACGAGAGCAGATCTCGTAGACCCTTTGGCAGCCATATCTTCGTCTTCGTTCGCTCTTGCTCAAGCCGAATGACCCGCGTAAGCATAGCATCCAAGGCAGAAGCTACACTAAGAATTCGTTCTTCGAATATGAACCCGAGCGCCAGACCGTGAACTGGAGCACCAGCGTTTCCCGGTGTTTTCAGTACACCGTGCTCGTCGAATAGATGATTGTGCGGCTCAAGTAAAAGCTCTGAAATTAGTGTCTGAAACCGCTGCTGGTCTTCCTTGAGCCTCTTGAGCACCTGTTCGTGCTCTAGTCGAAGCATGTCGCACTCATCAACACCAGGCTTTTTGACCCATCGTCTGCTGTTCACAGTCTGCAGCGCTCCCAAGATAGCGTCTACCGCATCACCACACGTATCCAGCAGTGACCCGCTCGATGCGAACAAAACTCCCATACTCTTATTCAGCAAGTCTTCAGTGTCCGGATGTTGGAAGCGGTCTCTCAGACTCAGAACCCGCAAAAGATGGTGGTGGCCGATCTCAGGCATTTCAGTCTCGGTAGTTCCTCCGTGTATGGCCTTGCTCAATACGTTGAGCTTCTCATATTTAGTCCGCGACTTCACCCGGAAGATTTGGAGTTCCAATAGTCCTGTACACATAATGACCACCTGGCGAAGTGGTTCGTGCAGGCTCTTTACATCCTCAGTGCTCCATCGTCCAGTCGACAGATCAAGAGCGAGAAAACCCAGGTTGGCTTCGACTTCCTTGTAAGCGGCAATCGTGGTCGCCTTGGTTTTTTGCAGCTGCGCCAGATTGACCGTCGCATCTGAATATCTGAAGGCTAGCTTACAAGCACTGAAAACCCCTTTCATTGGAGCGAGGGCACCCTGCATAGTGTCGAGGACGATATGCGAGGTACTCCGTGGGAACAGGAGAATATTGCATGCCATGCCAATGCCAATTGCTGCGGCTGCCGGTTTGATCAGGACAGAAGGGATTGTACCAGTAAAGGTCGGGATCAAGGGGCCAATGGTAAGAAAGATATCCGAGATGATAATTGCAAACATCTGGAACAGTGCGAGCTTCGGTGCGCGAACGCGTAGGCGTGCAACCAAGTAGACAAAGAGACCGACCATGCAGAAGTATGTGACGGTAACCCTTGTATCAAGCATAAAGCCTTCAAAAATTAAAACCTGCGTATACATCGATTGTCCTGTCGCCTGCTGCGTATTCGTTTGCTGCCGAGTGGCTTCAGACGCAAGTTGCGCAAGTCTCGCATTCGTCTCAGCCGCCGGTCGAGCCGCCAGTGCAGCCTTCATCGAGATCACGCCCCACGCCCATCCTGCGGCCATGCCGACGATCATGGTCAAGCCGCCCAAGACTTGAATGAAGACGACGCCATTGCAGGGCAAAATGAAGAGTACGATGCATCCGAAGAAAGTGGCCTGGCCAAATGCAACGAGTGTCGGATTGATGAGCAGGAACAGTGTTGCGATCCAGACTGCGACAGAGCACTTGAAAAGCGTCTTCAGATCCTTGACGTTGAAGTGGTCGAGCCATTCAGGCAGACCTTTCTTCTTCGGCTTCTCATCGCCATCATGGATGAAATATGGCGAGTCGGCAAGTTCAGCTGAGATGCGTGAGTTTCCAGTGCTCTTCTCCCATTGTATCGCTTCTTCGCGCTTCGGCCTTGTCTCTGTCGCCTCTGCCGCAGAAGACACAGTATTGTCGCTCATGCTCCCTTTATTCTCCCCAACTCATACTCTTGTACGCACAAAAAAAGACGCGCGAGAAAGGTAGACAAGGATCGAACCGACAGGGATGTCGGCTATTCAAAACAAACAACATGGACGAGGTGCGTCACTGACGGGCTCGGATGTCGACCAAAATATTGTGGTGAAGCATAAAATTGTACATGCAACATAATTGGATGAAAGTGGACATTGACTTTGATCGACCACAATGCCACGTTCGATGCGGCTGAAATCTGTCGCTACAAATACTGGTAGAGCTCGACGACTTACGGATGAAACCAATTACAACAAGACTTGGTGGCAACCATGGCTCGTCATTTTGGCAATGAAACATAAACAACCGAAAATTTTTTGATGCTGCATAATCTCATAAACCTCCTTCCCACCAGGTTCACAACGCCTGCGACATCACCACGAAGCAGGCACAATAATACCTTTGGATCTAGCGAGCTTTGAGCTGATGTACATAAGAACACTTCCCGGGAGAACGCATTCCTCAGCATTCAATCGTCCCGATGACAATGTCGTGAGGTTCCCAGCCGTTTGCCTCGAAATAGCTTCATCGGTGCCTAAACCCATGCGGACCGATGCCAAAATCCAGGAAGGACATTTTCGAGCATCTCACCTAGCCGAGGAGTCGAGTCTGTCTGCCCAAATGATTCTACTCCGAGTTACCGCTCGATCGAGTAACTCTCTTGCTGGCTTCGTTCTTGGTCGCCTCGGCACCACTGGCTGCAGCATCCTGCACCTTCTCTTTGACCTCGGTGGCAGTATCCTTGGCCTTCTGTGCTGCCTTCTTCACGTCCTCCTTGCTAGGAACGGGGGGCGATCCACCCATGCTTGAGAGACCAACAATGATGGCGATGAGTAGCGCGAAAGCGCCACCGATACCGCCGGCGACGTCGGGCATGAACTTGATGGCCTCAACCGGGTCTTTCTTGGCCAGGGTAATGAAAAGGTCAAGCTTCTCTTTGATGAAAGTGACCGGGTCGTCCATGAATTTGAGATCTGAGGGCGACTTGGGAATGTCTTCAGGTTTGGGTCTGCTCTTTGCATCCTCGGCTTCTTCGATGGGTCGCTTGACATCGTAAGTTTCGGCGCGGAAGGCGTTGGCGTCTTCGATGGAGTGACCAATGTAAATGTTGTCAAAGGTAATGTCGGACTGCATGGTCCAGATTTCAAAGCCGATCTGCAAGCGAGGGTTAACTACCACTTCATAAGGAACATGGCCAAGCACTTACTGCTCCAATGGGTTCGAAGTTGGAAGGAGTCTTGTCCTCGAAGTAATCGGGGTTAGGGATCTTGCGTGGTGCCCAGGGTCCCTTGTAGGCAGGGTTTTCGATGAATGGTGCAGTCCACTTGCCCTTGTAGAGAGGATTCTTCTTCATCGGAGGTTCCCATTTGCCACACCCAGACACTTCATCGCACTTGGGATTGGGGACCTGAGGAGGAATCCAGTCACCATCTTCTTCGTCGTCCCAGTCTTCGGGCTTCTCAGCTTCTGGGTCAGGAATTGTCGCAGGCTCATCCTCTAGCCAATCTTCGGGCTTCTCAGCCTCCTCATCAACCACCTCGTAAGGTTGATCCTCATCCCAATCCTCGGGTTTGACAGCTTCGGGGTCGGGGATTCGAGCTTGCTCCACCCAGTCATCGGGTTTTTTGTCCTTTGGATCGTCAATTTCTTTGGGAGGGTTGACCGCAGGAGAGAAGTCCTCTAGGAGACTTCCATTCTTGGCGGACGTATTGTCGATCAACATTTCAAAAGTATTGTCTGGCTTGACGATGAGGGTATAGAGTGTGGTCAGCTTGCCAGTTTTGGCTTGTGGGGGGCTCTTGAGGTGTTTCTCCTCGTATTCGCCAGTCTTTGGGTTCTTGTGCTGGAAGATGAAATGGACCTGGAATAGCCGTCAGAGTCATATGTCGAGAGACTGGATGCCAAACTCACCTTGTTAGTAGCTCCGCACTTGTCAGGACCAAACATGATCACGTAGGGAGAGGCGTTGGAGAATTCCTCTGCGTGCAGTTCCTTGTTCTCACGGAGCAACTTCATATATGCACCACCACACTCGAGGCCATTCTGAAGCTTGACCTCGTACTGGACGACAAGGGTCTTGCCCTTGTTGTTGATGACAGAAGGGAACTTGGCTGAAATGGCATGGTGCGCGGCTGCGTTCTTCACAACCAAGCCTTTGTCGCCAACGATGCCCGGAAGGACAGTCGGTTCTTCGACCGCCCATTCACCGACATACGCCCAGTCTTCATCACTCTTGGAATCTTGCTTTTTGGCATGTGAAGGGGTCCATCTCGTGTCCCAATCGTCGGTGAACTGTTCTAGAAAGGGTGCTTTAAGGCTGGTGGGCTAGTCACAGGTTAGCGGAAAGGAAATGGGCATTGGCAGATAATGCCAACTCACAGTGAAAGTGGGCCGCTCAACAGCACTCGTTGATGTCTCTGACTCCTCTTGGGCGAATGCCGTACCAGCAAGGAGAGCTGATGCATAGAGGGCCGGGGTGATTGCTGCGTTGAACCGCATGCTGGGCCACAAACACTGAGGCAGGGCAACAGTCAATTGACAGGGAGCACAAGATGCAAACCAGATAGAGAAGAGAATGGAGGAAGGAAAAGTTGTAAAGAAAAGGTCCCACTCCCAGTCGTGGTTATATTTCAATTCTCTTTGAAGGATCAAAGCAAGGTGTCCTTTACGGGACGGACTCCACCAGGGGGGAATTTCAAATGCCACTTAGATCGGTGAAGCTCCAGCACACAACAATTAACCGCGAAAGGCGGGGGATCACGTGTTAGCACGCGTTGGCCCTATTGAAATTTCACTCAGTTTCTTTTCTATTCTTCTCCTGTTTCCCACTTTAAGACAACCCCTGCAAGTCCCTGTACCACTATCTCAATAATGGGGGACCATAGCAACGACCACCTGGTCCAATCTGACGATCCGGACCACCCGGCGAATCTGATTCCGCGGCTCTGTAAACAATTCTATTCCCTTGGTAGGTTGTAGACGGGGAGCGGTCTGCTTAGGCCGCTGAAACTGACTCCCTCTCAAGGATGGGTCACTGGAACTGGAGGCGGCACAAGCATTCGCAAGGATGACCACGTCTACATTGCTCCGTCTGGCGTACAAAAGGAGCTCATGAGACCGGAGAATATCTTTGTCCTTTCGTATCCGACTCCCAAATACCCTCCGTCTGCACGACAGTACATTCGGAAGCCTCTGGACCTGAAGCCATCGGCATGTACCCCGTTGTTTCTGGCAGCATTTGAGCGTGGTGCCGGTTGCTGTATTCATACGCATTCCCAATGGGCTGTTTTGATCACCCTGCTCGTCGAAAAGTCTCATGGCAAAGAAGCTTGCTTCGAAATCAGCGACATCGAGCAGATCAAGGGTATTCCTAAAGGCCCGAAAAAGGGTATGCTTGGTTTCCATGACACCTTGCGGATTCCGATCATCGAAAATACTCCTTTCGAGGAGGATTTGACTGGGAGTCTGGAGCAAGCCATGGAGCAATATCCGGACACGTGCGCCGTTCTAGTAAGACGGCATGGAATGTGAGTACCATGAATGAACGGGGAACAACAAATCACTGATCTCCATCCAGATACGTTTGGGGCGACACTGTTGCTAAAGCCAAGACCCAATGCGAAAGTCTGGATTATCTGTTTCAGCTGGCGGTGGAAATGCACAAACTTGGGTTGACATGGACGCAGAGCGGCTGAACTTCTAAAGTGCTGTGGATAACGATCTCAGCTCCATTTATCAAGATAGACTTTATGGCAATAGAACTCCAGTGGTGTCCACAATCAAGCACATGATGAATAATAGCACCATACGTCTACATTTGTACCAGGCAAAATGAGAGCGTCGAAGTTCCCATCTCTTACTTTAGTTATGCTGTATGGAAATATTAATATTTGCCTATTTTATCTCTAAGGTCTCTTCTCCAAATTGTCCATCCTTCTCCAAGATACCACTTCAGATCTTAAATAACCGCACACTCTGCGGGATATCAGCCATTTCAACACCATAAATCCGAAATCGGGAACGGGCCCAGCAAAACTCTCGAGGCCATGTCTACGGCGGCGTCGGTATCATCCGAGTCGCAAAGGCCATCAGCATCAGCGGCACAACGCACGCAGGAGGCCAAAGATGCATTCACCGCTTCGCTGACCGCCGTTGGAGCCAGTATTGATGCCGAGCTGCATGCCCGGGCGAAGAACATACATGCCAATGCAAAGGCTCTAACAAAACAGGAGGACGAAGTGCGGAAGGCGACAAAGGGCTTGTCCAAAGAGAACGATTCTTTGCAGAAGCTACTCGACAAAACCAAGAAAGAGGTGCAGAGTTTGGGTGATTTGGACGACATCATGGCGAACCTGGACGCAGATATAGCCATGATTGAGGAAACCCTCAGGCTGGTGGAAGAGGACGAAGACGAACAGGTCCCGAAGAGCAACATCTCGGAAAGCGGCAAATAAACATGACCGCGCCAATCCTTATGTTGTGCTTGAAGCTGCCTTCACCATTTGCCCAATGATCTAGAGACAAGCGGCCAACATTAATGTTCCATTTTTTCTACGAATTATATGGCAGACAGGCTGGTGCGCAGAGCAACTAGGGCTCTACTCGACTTCTTGGGACAGGGCAACAGAATCAATGATCTTGAAGGGCAGGGTATCCCCACATCCCAATCTGGGGTATAGCAATAGGACAAGACGACTTAATATCAGCGGTCAGGTGAACGATGCACAACGGCAACGATTATATAGATGCCTCAATCCCTACCTTGTGTCTTATCAACTCGTAAGAGATGCGTTGAACTGGTAGAAACCAATAGCCTTTCCACAGCTTTGCCATTGTAGCCTTGCGAGGCTGAGCTAATGACGTAGTTGCCTGGAACCATCGCGGCCGCCAATCGGAGGCTTCCTTTCTCCGCGCAAGCACCAAGTCCTCGGTACGTAGAACTACTTACCCTGGCTGATTGCGGTCCTGCTCTTTCGCAACCCCTTCGTTCATCTGCCAGGACAGTGTCCTGGGCCGGGCGCGAGAACCGCTTCCCCATGCTCTCGGCATTCACCGCTCAGCCCATTGTCGAGCTGAAGCAGCGTGACAAGTCGAAGATCGAGTCCATCCTTTCTCACAGCGACCAACTGCTTGTCGGCCTTAACACGGGTGCCCTCCGCATTTACAGAGTCAAGAGTCCTCCATCGCGTTCCACTGAATCTGACGAAGGCCATGAAGACCACGAGGCCACGACCGACGAACCACCTGCGATAGCCAAACCTTCCGAACTACTTCGAGAGTACGAGAAGTTCTCAAGATACAAGATCGAACAGCTTGCTGTTTTCCGCGAAGCGAACATCCTGATATCTCTAAGCAATGGTCTTGTCTCTATCCATGACCTAGGCACCTATGAACTCAGTGAACAACTTAGCAAGACTAAAGGAGCTAGCACCTTTGCTGCCACAAGCAACATCGTCAAGGACTCCTCAACTGGTGTGCCTACCCTTGTCAGCAGGTTAGCGGTTGCGGTAAAGAGAAGGCTACTCATCTGGACCTGGCATGATGGAGAGCTCGAGTCTGATGCTGCTGAAGTCACGCTGTCGCACAGCATCAAGTGTTTGAGCTGGGCAACGGGCACAAAGATTATTGCTGGGCTGAGTGCAAACTATGTCCTTGTTGATGTCGAGTCTCACCAGGTCAAGGACATTATCGGCCCTGGCAGTATTGGTGGCACCCCTGGCCAAGAGAGCAGCAGACTGGGTGGCACAATGAGCTATATTGGTATGGGTTCAATGGTCCCCGTACCGCTCGCAACTGGACTAGGAGATGACGAGATGCTACTGGCCAAGGATGTCAACACCCTCTTCATCGACCGCAACGGAGACCCCATTACTCGACGTCAGGTTCCATGGCGCTTGGCTCCTCATGCGATCGGATATTCATATCCTTACCTCCTCGCTTTACAAGAAGCTTCAAAAGGTGTCCTGGAAGTCCGGAACCCTAAAACGCTCACTTTACTTCAGTCGATTGATCTTCCTGGCGCGGTATTACTCCAGGTTCCAAACCCGAACATCAGTCTTGCCCATCAAGGGAAGGGATTCCTGGTTGCCAGTGAACGCGTCATCTGGAGAATGCAAGGGCTAAATTACGATGCCCAGATTGATGCTTTGGTCGAAGGCGGTCAATTAGATGAGGCAATCAGTTTGTTGGAGATGATAGAAGAGACTCTGATCAAGAACAAAGCTGGACGCTTGCGTGACATCAAGATACAGAAGGCTCGCCGCCTTTTCGACGAAAAGAAATTCAGAGACGCGCTTGACCTGTTCGGCGAGGTCTCTGCGCCCCCTGAGCTTGTCATAAAGCTGTATCCCGCAGTCATTGCAGGTGACCTTGCGAATGAAGAAGTGAGTAGTGTCGAGGGAAATGAAGCGGAGGCAAACACCCAAGACAACTCCCAGAAATTGCCGCTGAAGACAGACGTCGCCCCAAGTTCTGCGAGAAGGACAAAGACCATATCCTCAGAGGTCGATGCGGCCAGCATACAGAGCGTGAAGACTGCAGACCGCACAGGGGGAGAGAGCCTTTCGGAGAAAGAACTCAAAAGCGCTGCCCGAGAACTCCAGGCATTCCTCGCCGACGTCCGTCGCCGCCTGCAACGATTCTTCAACCCGGACCAGACGGTACGCAATCTGTCTGAAGTCCAAATGGCAGCCCAATCCGAGGACATCCGTCAGGTCACAGAGCATCTTCTTGGGATAGCCACGCTGGATGATGTGGATCTTGCAGACAAGCTGCTGGATGTGGCCAAACTCGTTGACACCACCCTTTTCCGCGCGCATATGTATGCTACGCCTTCACTTGCAGGATCACTTTTCCGCATTCCTAACTTCTGTGATCCTGAGGTTGTTATGGCGAAGCTAGAAGAGACAGAACGGTACAATGATCTGATCGAGTTTCTATACGGAAAGAGACTGCACCGGCAGGCGTTGGAAAGATTGCGAAAGTTCGGACAGGCGGAAAAGACTGAAGACATCGATCCCCTGCTCCATGGACCTGCGAGGACGGTCTCATACCTTCAGAATATGGGCCCAGACCTGATTGATATGATTCTAGAGTTTGCCAGGTGGCCACTCGAGGTGGACCCAGCAATGGCCATGGAGATCTTCTTGGGCGACACAGAAAACGCAGAGTCACTTCCGCGGGACAAAGTCCTCGCATTCCTCGAGTCAGTCAACATAGATTTGGCGTTGCAGTATCTCGAACATGTGGTTGACGAATGGGACGATTTGACGCCTGAACTGCATCAGCGGCTGGCTGCGCTCTATTTAGAACGCTTAAAGGATCCGGGAGCAACAAACCAAGACGACCTGCTCGATAAATTCCTAACACTCCTGAGGACGTCTGATCAGTATTCTCCCGCAAAAACCCTGGGATTACTGCCTCGGGATGATGCAATGTTCTATGAGGCTCGAGCCATCGTCTTCAGCAAGATGGGCAACCACAAGCAAGCTCTGGAAATCTATGTCTTCAAGCTGCATGATCCCGGCAAAGCGGAGGAATATTGCAATCAAACGCATCTGGAGGCGACCAGCAAATACTCCGGCAAGTCGGTGCCTAAGCGAAAAGCGTCTACCACCGATCCAGTTGATGAGGAGCCTTCCATCTATCATATTCTCCTAAACCTCTACCTAAACCCACCGAAAGGTGAGCAGGCGCTGTTCGGGCCAGCCCTTGGGTTGATGGCTCGCCATGGACCGCGGTTGCCGGCAAGTTCGACGTTGGAGCTGATCCCCGAAGATTTGCTGGTGAAGGAACTAGAGTTCTACTTCCGTGGTAGAATACGAAATGCCAATACTATCATGAACGAGTCGATGATAGTCTCGGGCCTGAGGAAAGTGGACGCTGTTCGAGTTCAAGCCGCTTTGCTGCTGGGAGACGGTGTCCAGTCCGGCGGTCGAGGGAGAAAAGTGAGGATCGACGAAGATCGAGTGTGTGGCGTCTGTTATAAGCGACTTGGTGGCAGTGTGATCAGTGTATTTCCTGAGTGAGTTTGTCCCTCTTTCCCGTCAAGGCCTGTGCACTGACAGTTGAGACAGCAATTCCGTCGTGCACCTCGGGTGTGCAGTACGCAAGCAAAGCGAGATTGCTGCTAGAGCGGTCTGAAGCATAATGTCCATAACCATAACGACTCTCTGATACCACCGAGTGACTTCTGTTATTATATCTCGTCCTGCTCATTCTCTTCGCCGTAGTTCTCTTCCTCTAATTCATCCTTCGACTTCTGCTTCAATGTGCTATCCTCGCTGTGTTGTCCGGTTTGTTTCTTGTCTTCCTCCATTTTCTCAGTTAAGAATTTGTTGATATCCTCCTGTAGCTTCTTGCTTGAAGCCCGTAGCTCGGAGACATACTTTGTTTTGGCTTCCGCGCTGAGTGATCCGTCGTCCTGGGTTTGTGGTGCCGTGATTGTGTACTGGAAATGCTTCGATTCGGAAGGTGAATTATAGGACGCAGTGAGTGCCGTTGGAGAATGATCTGAGGGGTTCGACATGACTCAGAAGCGCTGTTCGACGAGCAGTTCTTGAAGATTGAGCGGATGTAGCACTCTACATTGTAGAGAAAAGTGAGTGCGGGTCGGAAACAGCGGGGGTTAGAGGGACTCCAACTGCCACGCCGACGTCAACACATACCATCTCACCTGCGCAACCCTCAACTCACGCGTTCTGCTCCTATGGACAAGCTCAACCTATCACCCCCAGCGTGTAAGGCGAGAGAGAGATGTCTGTGAAGGCTTGTTTGTCGTGTAGCGCCTCCAACACAGTTGATCCGGTGACCTTTCATCCCATGCCACCCTCTCCGGATCCCTGAAGCGACCGGCCTTTCTACTTTGTCTATTCGACCATGGAACCACCTCCTCAGCGACGGATGGGACTACGGTCGCCAGTCCCTCCTGCCTCGTCTGTTTCGCCGAATCCATCACGCGCAGGCTCGAAGCAGAGCAACCGACCCAGTTCGAGCGGCAGTGACACCTCGGGCTCTTCACGTCTTTCAGTTGTCAAGAGATCTCCCTACAACCAACAATTGCCGACGTTTGTTTCACACAACAATTCAAGCCACGCCTCGTTACCATCCCACAACCGGCCGTCCGCACAGTATATGCCTCGTGATGGCAGCGCAAAACACAATCTAGCCCTCCGCCCGAATTGCAAAAGCACCGCCCAAGACAGCACTCACAGGGTTACTTCGAACCCTCGATGCCTTCCGCCTCCCTAGCCAGCCAGTCTCAGCTACACGATCACACCGGGATGCCTACACTCAATCCTTCTCAAATTGCCGCCCAGGCTGCAATGCAGCATCTGAATGCGACGAACCATTCCCGCAAGAGATCGCAGACAGTACCATTTCCACAAGAGCAGACCCAGCAGGAAGGTCGCCGTAACAGCAGAGGGTCGGCAGGCTCTCACGAGGGCCAATCCCCAACCACAGCGGAGCAACAGTATCGCAATGGACTAGTGGGCACCAACGCAGCAGCAACGGCAGCTAGCGTGGTATTCCCAAGGAATTTTGCATCAACTAGCCAAGTGTCGTTGGTGGAGGAGGAAAAGTCAAAGAAAGGCCTGAAGAGATTTAGACCGAAACACATTGTGCTATCAAGGGACAAGGACAAAGAGGCTAAAGAGAAGCCGTTGCCGTCGCCAAACCGTCTGGCACCAAGTGGTTTGTCGAAGGTTATGAATGCCTCTACCTCAAGCCTTGCGGAGTCACTGTCGTCTAATTCCTCCTCCTTATATCAGCTTGCTAACCCATCGTCATCAACCATCGTACCATTTCCAGAGCAAAGGGAGCAGAAAGACAAGACTCACAAGCACCATGGTCTACGTCAAAAATTAAAACTCAAGGATAAAGATGAGACCTTTGCCCTTCCATTGTCTTCTGCCAGCTCAAACTCTCGTCCAGTGGATGTCAACAACCCACAGTCTCTCTACTCTTTTGCTCCACCATCACCCAATCCATCATCCAACTTTGCCAAGTCAGTCTCTGGGCTCGATCTTCGGCATGGGGGTCGAGCTCTGCGGGAGAAAAAGAAGGAAGAAAAAGCCCAGGCAGCCTTCGCCAATCTTGAACCTGTCTATAGCCGGGGAGAAAGCGACACCTCCGAATGGCCTTCCCTAGGGACCAGCTTTACCAATCAATCGGTTAGCAATTTCAACACATACAGCGAGATCAAAGAAGCAGGAGCGAACTTTGGTCTTTCCAACATGTCTGCAGATGATGCCTGGGACCTGCTCAGGGCAAAGATATTGGTGACATTTGAAGGGGAGGACGTACGAATAGCTGTCGAGGATCTAAACAAGCTCGTCACAATTCACGTGCAGAGGTGCGTGCAAAGGAAAGATCCTAGTATTGTCATTGGTGATCTGGAAGATCTCTTGAAGACTGGGTTTCTAAGCCTCAATCATACCTTGCGCAATGCTGCCGATAACAGCCTAGTACCTAAGCTGGTAGGCATATGGATGGAAGTATTCGGCAAAATCCTCCCATTCATGCAAGCTGTCTTTCTTCCCCTTGATCAAGAGTTCAAGGGCAGAGGCACAATACTAACTACCCCCAAGATGGCCGCAGAATTCTGGGGAGCTCTACCGAGCCATGAAAGTGGGAGTAAGCTATCGTCATCACCAGCATCTGGAGAGGGCGCAGACTTTGTGGTTGCAGCGGGCGAGGAGCTGGAGGTGAGACGGATCCTGCTCATCAGCTACCGGGATACTATCGTACTGCCACGCTACGAGGTGCTGAAGTCGACCTTCTCGCGACTGAGTCTGGACAGCATCAACGCGTCCATCATGCAATTTGAAAATGGGAACAGAAACCGCGGCAACAGCGGTGGAAGTGACAGGCCTGGTACTGCTCAGGGCACCGAGCCAACATATGGAAGCTACAATTCCCAGACCAGTACATTGCTCGGCAGTATGACGTCCGGCGGCAGGTCTCGCGCAACATCCAATCTGTCCGTGGTGAGCAATCCCGCACAGGACGTGGCCTTCCAATCATTTAGCTCTCCTCCAGCAGCAAGGCCGACAGATAGCTCATCATCGCACGTCACAGAAACAGTGGCTCGAATGCTCCAGTGCCTCTCGGTGTTGTGTTCGATTCAGTCTGGAGACGAAGCTCAGAATCGGATGGAGGAACTCAACAAGCAATTGAAATTGAACTGGCTAGGTCGGGGCCGTACCGGTAGGAATCGGAAGGGTTTTGTTGGGAGCAAAGTGCGACCCATGGGACGTGGGCTTGACCGCGAAGGGAGTCCCACGCCTACGCCTACTCGACAGGGGACTGTGAGCAGGCAGAGCGACGATGCTGGATGAGAGACGTCATGTAGGGTTTAGAGCATATCGATGCTATAGTCAGGATGACGGATGACAAGCGGGTGATTAACGACATGAATGAGATTATGCATTGGGTCAAGTCTCGATCTGCAGGCCTCTCGTTATTCTTGCGTTAGAATCTCTGTGGGACTGAAACTTCCAACAACTACTACAAATATGAAGCCTAGAGCGCTTGAGTCTCTCCGTCAACCAACATTCATAAGCGCGCTGATCTGAGCATTGCAAGCAGCCGTCTCCAATTACCCCGATCGACGTGACAAAAATGCCCTTCATTCACTCCAGCCTGGATGATACCCTTCTCTACTATGTTGACTACAGACCGGTCTCAAGCCGCCCTCGTTTTCAGCCAGCAGCCAGCAAAACAAAAGATTTTGGCAACAGCGGCAAAACACTGGTTTTCATCCATGGGTGGCCAATGTCGCATCACATGTACGAGCACTTGATGGTGCGGTTCTGCGAGACGTACGGCATCCGATGTATCGCGTCCGACCGAAGAGGCTTTGGGAAAAGCGATTGGAACACCAACCGGAGCACGGAGATCTCTTACGACACCTTTGCTCAAGACACCGTTGACTTGATCGATCATGTCAAGGTTGACGATTTCTTCTTCGTCGCGAGCAGCATGGGATGCGGAGAATCTCTTTTGGCGTACCTTCAGATGCGTGAAGATCTGCAGAAGAAATGTCAGGGTTTGATATGGTTGGGTCCCAGTCTCCCGTTCCCATTAAAGACGGACACAAATCCCATAGCACCGTCCCGAGAGCTCTGGGACATGATCTTGTCTGGCTTCCGCTTGGATCGCACGGCTTTCACCAGAAACGCGCTCCCAGGCGTGTTTGGTGTTCCTTTCAACCTCGGCATCGAGGTGCCCGAGACAGTTCTGCAAAGGTTCGAATGGATTGTCGCACAGGCCGACGCCCTTGCGATCGAGAGTTGCGTCCAAATCATCACGGACAGAGACTTCACCGATGACCTCAAGAAACTGGATAGCAAGGATATAAGAGTTCTCGTCATCCACGGAGACAATGACCAGAGTAAGTGAAATCCAAAATCATCTGTCGTCTCACCTACAAGTGCTCATGCATCTATCTGCACAGGTAATTCCGCCGAAGCCACTGCGAATCTCATTCCAAACCTCGTCAGTCAGGCCCAAGTCAAAATCTACGACAAGGCAGCACACGGTATGTACCTCACACATGCAAATCAAGTCACCGACGATATCCTCTCCTTCGTACTCGGACTTTGAAGAGCGGGGAACATCTGGGCGAAAACATCTCTCCAGGCCTATCAGGGTGTGTGGCTTATTGGCATTTGTCTTTGTCCCCACACTGGGCCGAGCAACCTCGTATTCCGGCGTGCAACCATAACGTTATGGTCTGCAGCTCGGGAACTTTGGTGTTGGGAGGTGTGTTTAAACCCAGACTCGACGTTACGGACGGCAATGACAATCTTTCGACTCCCAAGAGACGAAGCACAAGACAGAGTACGAGCTTGGATGTTATATTTGCAGTCTTTGGGTTGCCATTCTCTTCATTTCCTTTAGTAGCTTCACATAATCCACGCTGTTTCAGGTCGGTTGTCCAGGATAATTCAAACAGCCGTTCGTTCCCTGTTTCGCGCAAGGTACACCGGATCATGTCTGAAAAGAAAGCCCACGTCAAGCGCAAACTCGCACCGTTGGCGGTGCCGCAGCCTGGGGAAGATGCGGCGGAGAGGAAACGAGTTCTCAACGTCCTTGCTCAACGACGATATCGCCAGAGGCGAAAAGAGCACATCAAAAAGCTCGAGGCCCAGGCAGCAGATGCGAATGGGGACTCTGGTGTCCTGTATCCGCAGAACTTTCCTCTGCCGACGGACCCAGACACGTCCCCAAACGCCATTGCAACACAGTCAGATACTGGTGCTCAATCATCGCAGTCATCCTTACAAACATCCGAGACATCATTAAATGGCAGTATCTGCAATTATCAGATCGAGGCGACCGGGGGAACTGCGTCGCTCCCTGTTTTGCTCGATGCCTTTGCTAACTACGACGAATATTCGTTCACTGGCATTCCGATCGAGGATCCGGCTCTCTGGGAAACTTCAGGAGTGCTGCCTTCGTTACCAAGCTCACCACTATCGTCGTCAAAGCATACATCGTCGAGTGAGGGCGAAGCCTGGTTATTGACACCTCTTCCGGATTCCCAAGAACCTTCGGAGACCGGCCAGAAGACGCCTCTGGCGCAATCAATCTGTGATCAGGAAATGATATATTCTTTCCCAGACGAAGCGCACCTAGAGATGGCAGAACTTACCTTACTTCGGGGGTGTATGGCAATTGCCAGGCGGATGAAAGTCCAAGACATCATATGGTCTTTGACCGCGACGTCGCCATTTGCTGATTCTTCCGCGCCTCTGGCACAATTTAGTCACCTACCAGATAATTTGCAGCCGACCCTGATCCAACTGACCATTCCACACCACCCAGTTATCGACCTTCTTCCGTGGCCGTCGGCGCGTGACAGAATGATCAAAGTCTTGTCACAGCCTCCGGAAGTTCGGCCTCCAGGGGCAGCCTCGCCAATGGCCCTGGTGGACTTCGTGTATGACCTGGAAGACAGCGCCGAGGGGGTAAGGATAAGCGGCAGCGATCCGTATTCCGGGAAGAATTGGGAAGTGGGTGAGAAGGTATTCAAGTCCTGGTGGTGGGTTTTCGACAGGGATATTGTCAAGAGAAGTAACGAGTTGCGTGCGTCGAGGGGCGCGCCAATGCTGGGGACTGGGAGTATTCTGGGAGAGGTAGGATGACTGGAGCATGGCAAAGAGTTTGGGTGAGGGCGAGAGGTTTTCTTGGTGGCTGTGGAGTGACAATAACCACCATCTGGAATGACTGGCTGGTTGCTATCTTTGGAACATGTTCTAATGTCACGGCGTATCTGGAAACAGGGTCACCGTCCGCTCGTGCTTTGGTACTTTCCTGACTGAAAACAGGAGCCATAAGGCAACCTTACACCATGCAACGTGGGCTGTAGTATCGGTCTTCTAAGCCTCTGATCAATGCTTGTCCAATTTCTCCACTCCTCGAAGTTGTGTGCAGCTTCTACTCTTTTTGCCTTTTTCCTTTTCCTTTTCTCCCTCTGACGATTGTCGAGACTGAACGTAGTATTCGGTAGTCGTAAGGGCAATTTCGTGCCAGCCACCAAACCCAGCGTGGCGGAGGTCGGGGACGCTGTGGTGCTAAACGAGGCGTTCTTAATGCATGTTGCAATTTCGGGGCCATTCCATCGCCCCACGAGGCATCTGCATATCATTGGAAGGCTAGGCGGAACGGGTGTATTGACCAATTACTGCGAGAGAGGAGGTTTCTGACGGAGTGCGCAGGCCCAGTACCGAGTACATAGGTAGATGAAGCTTAAGTGAAGCTTCGACGCTCTAATCCACCACCTCAATACGAGGATGCTTTCCCTCTTTTCATCTTTCTTTCTGATCCCGTCGTTGCGAACGAATACTTTGCGCCGAGTCAGGGTTCATTCCCGTCTCGTGTGCAAGGAAATGTTCGCGATCGATGTCTTCGAATGCACTGCAAAAGTATAGATCAGCATCAGTGAGAACAGTGCAGGGACTAGCCCCCAGCACCTCGGAGGCTTTGATTTGGGTGCCTGGTGAAGGATCAATTGCATTTGGTTACCGGGGATGAGCTCTTCGTGTTGCTGACTGGATCTAGCCTTTTCCAGCAGTATTCTGGGCGCTCATAGTGAGGGTCTTCCCTGTTCGCTGCAGCCGAACCGGCGTTGACTCCTTATCTACCAGGACTGAACCATGGTCAGGAACTGCTCCATTCGGCAAAATCCCCATGTTTCTGACGGCTCTCAAATGCCATCTCACGGAGAGAGCGAGAGCCTGGCCGTGCAGCCATGGCCTTACGCTATCCCGTGCTAGGCGAGTTGGGCCTGTCGGTACCTGCATGAGGCTGCAGGTTCCCTGCGTCGTGCAAGGAGCTTGCAGCCCTAGCTTCCCCTGTCAGCTTGCCTCTGGCGGAATCCATCAAAAGTCCCACGTCCAGCTTTGTCGTCTAGGAACCGAGCACGCGGTACATACAGAAAACCGTCCATCTGCGAATTTGCAAGTGAAGGTCCCGACACGTTCCTGACTTCGTCCACTCTTTTCCTCCCGCGCTCTGCTTTCCTTCTGTTTCTTTTTCGCTGTGATATTGATATCTGCGCAGCCCTATCCCAACGGCCGCCATCGCAGAAGAGGCTCTAACCTCGCCGTCATACCTGGTCGATTTCACTCATTCTTGGCCCACGATGCGGCGGTCCATCGCTCTTTTCCTTGGTCTCGCTGCATTGGCCTCTGCTCAGGACACTGCGACCCCCACTATAGTGACCGACGCATCGACGACCACTCCGACTGACTCCGTCACTTCTGCGCCCGCCACCACTTCTTCGAGTACGAGTGACAGCGCAGATTCCAACAGCGCAACAACTGCCTCAAGCACAACGCAAGGTCCTATAACACACACGGTGGCGGTGGCTTTGGTACGGGGGGGGCTTCCAAAGAAGGCTGTGTTATGGGCGTATATAACTAATACATCGAGTAGGGAGGATTCACATTCGTGCCCGACGTGACCTTGGCCAAAGTAGGCGATACAATCTTGTTTCAATTCTACCCAACCAATCACTCCGTCATTCGCTCAGAATATGGGTACGCTTGCATTCCATACGAGGATACCGGTGTCGACAAGGTCGGATTCTTCTCAGGCTTTAAACCTGTCGATGCGATATTGAGTGAACCACCTGAGTGGTCGATCGTGGTCAATGACACCAATCCAATCTTCTATTATTGTGGTGCACCGGGATCATGTATTGACCATCAGATGGTTGGCGTCATCAATCCCAATGCCACGACATCCTTACAGCATCAGAAAGACTTGGCATCACAATCTCAGTTCATGCTACTGCCCGGTCAACCTTGGCCCGACGAGAGCGAGGATCCGTTCACCACAGCGTCCGCGACTACTAGTGCGTCAGCGACTGCTTCACCCACCGGAGCTGGCTCCTCGAGCGAGACAACCGCCAGCGAGAAGTCATCGTCCAAGTCAGGCCTCTCTGGTGGTGCGATTGCTGGGATTGCAATCGGAGGCGCGGCTGTAGCTCTTGCGGCTGCTGTTGCCTCTATCTCTGTGGTCGGCAATCTCGCGCTCGTGGGATCAACAATAAAAACATCGATGATCGTCCAAACACAGGCCACGCAACACAGGTTTCCTACAATCCACAAGCGCCGCATGGTCATCTGTCTTATATGACCGATCCGACCAAGCATATGTCTATGCACAGCAGTGTTGTAGGCTTGGGACCTTCTCCAGCCCTGCCTGGATACGTGCCTTCACATGATCCTACCATGTCGCCCCCTCTCCATCCAGCATATCCAATGCCGATCAGCGATTCCTTGAGCCCTGGTCCGATGATGCCAGGAAGTGAGCTCGCGTCGCCACACAGTCCAAGCCCGAGCCAGATGTACGCTGTTCCGGCGTACAGCAGCGGCGTTCCACAGAGCATGTAAGTATTCCATGACTCCCCACTGCAGGAATAGGTTGAGAATCTTGACATATACTAATGGTATAAGCAGAAACGGAACACCGGTTCACTCGATATATAACACCCCGCCGCCGCCGCATGTTCACGAAATGGCAGCCTCCGAGCCTCTTCTGCATCCACAATCACCACCGCCACCGCCTCAAGGGGACGGAATTATGGGATTCATTCGAAGGTCAAGCGTCAGCAAGACCGGGGGTGTGGAACGCTACGGGTGAAGGACGATGGCACACCATTTCCATCTGCGATGGGGAACAGGATCCGTGGTCCCGCCAAACGGACAGAGAGACAATGTAATCTAGGTGTTCTATGTATCCTGGGTCGGGGCATATGCTTGGGAATAAGTTACTGTGCGTCTATATTTGACAGGTAAAGCATCAGGTTAAAATATGAGGGGATGAAAGGCTGAAATGTAGGTTTGAGGAGGCGAATCTGGCGTATCTTTCCGCAAAGAACGATGTCTTGTAAAGCATATAAACCCCCGAAATTAGTGAGAGACTTGAGTAGTCATTGATCCAGGTCTTTTACTTTTCAACGCAGTCTATGAGATTTATGTAGATCTTTGTGTCACGCCAATGGTTCATGAAGAATAGTTAAACGACGCAGCACACTATCAACTCTCAGGCTTCACCGGTTGACTGCTCTGACGAATGTGACAGCTTCCAGCTCTGCCTCTTCAAGAATCCTGACTACCCAACAACCCAACCGTCAAGCCCTTCATCCTCCGCTTCAGTAGGTCCTCTTCGCTGCCGAGACTGATGAGGCTCTTGCTGCGGCCAAGGTTGTCCGAGCCCTTTGACCTCTCTTCCTGTCTTCGCCGACCGTTCTCCCCATTCGCGGGCCCGTTTGTTCGAGCTACCAACATCGTTGCTTCTTTACCAGAGCTGAGACTGGACATAACCAATGGTGCATCGTCATCCATGCTTTCTCCTGTGGGAGTCCGTCTGTGGTGCCTCATTTCGGTTGTCGTTGCAAGCTCAAGCGAGCTGCCCGAGTCGTGCGTGAAAGTCCCCTGTCTCAACCTGCTTTCGATCGCCGGACCTTCGAACTGATGTGGTGGCCTTGCGAAGATGTCCTGGATCCACTTCCCGCAGCGGAATATATGTTTCCAGCCCTCAGGGAAGATGCTTACAAAGGACACAAACCCATGTGATATCCCGGGAATGAGTGTTACTTCAACGTGGTCCTTCTCATTGAACTCGGCTGTCGATTTCTCGAGGCCGACCTCTTGACGCTCACGAAAGAGGTGGAGTTTCGCTTGACGCAACCGGCCCGCGAAGATGACGGTGTCATCGACCAACGGATCACGTTCGCCGGTCAGGAAGTATGTTTTCGGAAATCTGGCCAGGAGACCTTCGGATGCCACAGCCGGACAAAGCAAGTGGTCTGTGGTAAAGTCAGGGCGATGGTATGGCCCTACATAGAGAATAATCATCGCACGCATCATTTCGGGAGTAAGGATTCGGTCGCCAAAGTAAGAGATGATGCTGGAGACGGCCAGTCTTGTTTTCAGCGGCTGAGGCTTGGAGAGGGCCACAGCCTGCTTTTGTGCCTCTACGTCCGTGCTCTTTCGGGCAAGAGGCCTTTCATCCTGAATAGGGCTCTCGACCCGAGGGGCGAAGAAATCGTGGTTGTGGTCGTCCTCATCGTCACTCATGGGCCTCGGAGTCGTTGGAGTATATCGGCGGTCGATATCCTCACTCTTGCGTTTGATGAAGCGCTCATATTTCTTCGCCGTTCGTGGGTTGCGGATCAGTGCCATTTGATCATCTGTCATCCAGCTGCCAATATTGAAGTCCAAGGCCGGGTAAAGGAGAACCAGACCCGCGGGAGATGGCAGAATTCCACGAGAAGCGCTGCTCTGATTTGATTGTATGACCATCAGAGTCGTGCCACATGCCAGATTCCCACCCGCACTGTCGCCTGTGATCACGATCCTCGGGCACATGTCTGGTTTCATGCCAATGCAACGACCTCGAGTTGCCACGATCTGGGTGTAGACGTCAAAGCACTCGTTGAGTGCATACGGATAGGGATATTCGGGAGCCTTGCGGTAGTCTAGACTGAGGACTGGCAGCCCCGTTTTTCCGGCCAAGGCGAGCAATTTGTCGTCACTTGTCCTTGGATCCATGGCAACAAAGCCTCCACCTGGAATATCAAGAACCACGTTCTCCTGCTTCTCCAATTCGGCGAGAGAGCCGTCGAAGTACATCCACGCAACCACGGGCTCCTTGTAATGTGAATGCTTTGGGCGAGGGATTCGAATCCGCCGCGGCTTGTATTTGGTGAAGCGAGGGCGCAATAACGCAGTGAAGAATTTCAGATACGGTGTGGTTGGTTTGTTCCATGCCACTCGTAAATGGTCGACCGTCAAGACAGCGCGAACCTTGCGCACTTTCTCATCCGCCCGCTCTGCTGCGAAGAGATAGTATACTGAGAAGGTAATTGAGCATAAATCTCTGAGGGTCTTATTTCTGATTTTCATGGCGCTCCAAAAACCCGCATCTAGAGCCGTAGTGATCCATGTTGCCCGAAAGTATGCTCGGCTGTACAGGTTGGCAAGGGGTTCGGGGGATTCGAGGCCAACAATCTTTGCAAAATTTCGGCATATATAGAGCCAGAGGAAGGTCAAGACGACAGATTGCCAGACGGTAAACCGTTTCGAGAGGCGCTGGGATATGGATCGAATGAGAGGAGGACCATGTTTGTCACCTCTTATCTTGTCATGAGCAATCGTCTTCCCAGAGCAGAATGGAGGGATTACCTCAGAAGGTAGAGTGACCAGAATGAGACAACGGCAAAGACTTGGACTTTGCGGAATTGAGACGAAGGCCGGCCCAGTACATGATCTGCCCACCCTAAATCAGCGCATGGGAATTTGTGGAAGGGACGTGTTTGAACAGACCTATCATATTTGATATTCACTGAGTGCCACAGACATCAATGAGAAACTTCGGAAGAGCAGTCAATTGCAGGGTCTCCAGAGAAAGCCAGAACAAGATTGCGCCATTCCAAAGCACGGACAGATCTAGCCTTCGTCCGCATGCAGAGTGAGAGAGGATAAGAAACACAGGTTCAGAACTTTAGGCAAAGGCATAGAAGGCCACCAGCTGACGAGGAGCATAGAACCTGTGACCATTGCAAAGAAGAATCCTCTGACGTTCGTAGGGCCCGAAGTCCGGGTGGCAGTGGCATGCTCAGGTACCAGAAACGGAGAGCGAGGATGCGGAATCTTCATCGCGGGCCGAAGTGCATGTGAAAGTTTGACTGTCAAGTGACGCACGAACATGTGAATGCAGTGGTGGCGGTGCCTGTGGCTGAGTATTGGCATTTGCAAGTACGTACGAAACCAGGCACATATCTATATACTACAATTTGTATACCAGCACTGAGACTGAATCTCTGAATTTGCAGAATATCCTGGATGCCTCAGCCTTCATACTCCAAAACAAGTCGACATGGGTATTCGCTGCATTAATAAGCCGAGTGTATATTACACGAGCCCGTCCCTGTGTCTTCTCAGGCAACGCAACCTGAGCGTCGTTTCCTGGCAGCATTATCTCTTTCAATCTCAAACCCGAATTCTCACTCCAAGGAATTTATCCCAGTACGACTCCAACCAAGATAACCATGTTGTTCCCGGAGGATTGTGGGAGGATATTCAACCAATCCAAAAACCTAAAGGTCTCGATCTGAGACAATATGAGGTAGGCTTGTCTGAGACGGCCTGGTGCGGCGAGGTGCACGTCAGAGCCAGGGGACTTTGCATGCTCTGCCTTCCCTTGAGAATATTTCAATGTGAGAAATGAGTGTGCATAACAATCTCATCGTCCTGATTATCCCGAAACCAAGAAGCTTTGGACTGCTTTCTGCGAAACGTCATCAAGAGAATGGCAAACGATCTCTAATCCAGCCTGTCACACCTCCGCTGTTCCCACCATTGCGACTTCTGCTACTGCTTCCATTCTGGTTTCTTGAGCTATGCCGCCTTAGGTCACTTTGCATGCTTGAGTGACGGTGGGTTTCAGGATGTTGCATATCGTAGTCTTGTCTCCGCCCATAGTAGGACTCTCTGGCTTCTCGTATAGTGCGGGGACTTTCTGGAAGCGGTGCAGGGTTGAATCGATCGCTTTCAGGGGGGGTATAGGCACGTGGACTTGACATCGAAGAGGCTCGCCGGCTGTGTCTCCGCCTTGAAAGTCCCGGCCGCTGGCGATCTTCTGGTTCCGTTATGGGTTTCCGACAGTGAGGGCAAGTATCGTGCTCTTTCAGCCATGCTGTTACACAGTCACCGTGAAACCAGTGATTGCACGGAAGGACAGTCACCTCGTTGTTCAACTCAACATTGTCCATGCATATTGAACACTCAGCCTTCCCTTCGTCGCCTAGCATTTCTCGATCTACTTTCTTCTTTTTGAGAGATAGAATGGCTTCTTCTGATGCTGGCGGAGGTGCAGTACTTGTGTTGTGTTGTTCCATGAGCTGCGTCATAACCCGATCGAAGGCTTCCTGACTGTACACCATGTCCCCTGCTCGAGCATTGGCGGGGTTGAGCATTTGATGGAGAAGGTCGAATGGCAGAGGGGTCGGGCCTCCCCTTCGTCTGTCGTCGGTGTCTGGAGTATGAAAGCCTTCTGGTTGCATTGATTGAAATATGAGGGAGAAAAGACTGCGAAAAGATTCAGCACAAAATCACCACTTCGCCTCGAAACATACTCTTGTAAGCCCGCCGGCTGCAAATGGAGATGAGGGTCGTCCCTTCCGCCAACGCCTTGCCCTCGCGGGAATCCGAAGGGATCTAGATTGAACATGGGAGGAAGCATGCCTTGATCCTGTAGTTCGTCCAGCCGGGTAAGCACTTGTCCTATCTCATCAATCACTTCATATAGCTCATCTGTTCGTACATTGCGCCCATCACTCCTCCATGTGCGGGTGCTGAGAACCATTCTTCCACGTCCGCCGGCGGTTGTCAACTCGAACGTTGTGACATCTGTCCCGATATCGTCGTTTGCGTCTTCAGACCAAGGGTTATGGTTTCGTAGCGCAGCGTAGTCATCGAAACTGCTGGGGGGTGATGACGGGGGTTCGACGGGCAAGGATGGGGACGAAGACCGGTCAAAATCATGGCTAGACTGGGCCTCGCCGGGTTCGAGCTGGAGCGTTATGTCAGCACTGAGTTGGCAATGAGCCGGTGATTATGCTCACAATTTCTGTGAAG